GAACCAGAGGTAGCAGAAGCAGTACCAGTGGTACTGGTTGTGCCATCACCAGCTAATGTAGTCGTAGATTCAATACCAGAGGAAACTGATTCGGCACCAGAGGAAGCGGACTCAGTACCAGAAGTAGCTGACTCAACACCGGAAGTAACAGTAGAAGCAGGACGGCTGGTACTGCTTGTATGATCGCGAGATAATAAAATGGTAGAACTCTGACTGTTGGTAGACTCCGCACCTGTGGTTGTAATATCCTGTGATACCGCACTAGTTGAACCATCTTCACGGCCACCGTTGTTATAATTATAGCATTCGGCTGGCCATCCGTAACTTGGGGCATCGGTCTTGGAAGTAGACGAATCCTCATCGTAATCATTACATCCAGTCATGTAGTCATAAGATCTCGCATAAGTCCAACTAGCGCATTCACTCTGGTCAGTCACACCAGCAGTACACCAGTCGTACTGGATTTGGAAAGATGGTGTAACCACGTTACCATCCGCATCAGGTACCAATGTTAACGACACAGTTGTCTCCCAGCTGTCCGGGTTGGAAATCAATGCGATGTTGGAGTTTCTCGAAAATAGAACCTTCTGAATATTACCAATGATCTTCAACTCGCTCAGAGAATTCAATGACATTGTCTTCTCAGAGGATGTGAATTTTATGGTAACATCGTAATTGTTCCCACCAGTCCATTTAACATTGGAGATCACTATATCAGCTAGAGGGAAATCAGTAATCTTCGAGTGGTAGGTGAAATCCAAATCTGTACACTGAGGAGTGATAGAACATTGAGAACTGGTTGATGCAGAAGTTTCGCTAGACGTTGAAGCGGAGGTGCCTGAAATTGAAGTTTCCTTAGATGAAGCAAAAGCAGTACCGGTAGTACTGGTCGTGCCATCACCAGCTAATGTAGTCGTAGATTCAATACCAGAGGAGACTGATTCAACACCGGAAGTTGCGGACTCAACACCGGAAGTAGCGGACTCAGAACTGGATATAGCTGACTCAACACCAGAGGAAGCTGACTCAACACCGGAAGTAGCTGACTCAACACCAGAGGAAGCAGACTCAACACTGGAAGTAG